TGCTTAAAGCAAGGCCCGATCCCTTAACTAAAGGCGAAAGAGCACTGATAGAAAAGTTGTAAGTTTGCTCAAAGCAAGGTCCGAGGCTTCAACCAATGGTTGAAGAGTCTGATGAGAGAGTTGTAAGTTTGCTCAAAGCAAGGTCCCCTCAAGCCTAATGAAGAACTGATAGAAGTTGCAAGATTGCACAATGAGAGTGTACTGATAAAGAAAATTTGCAGCAAAAACTAAATGTGGAAAGAGTACTGATAGAAGAGTTGCAAGTTTGCTCAAAGCAAGGTCCCACGCACTTAATTAAATGTGGAAAGAGTACTGATAGAAGAGTTGCACGTTTGCTCCAAGCATGGTCCTGAGCCCTCAATTAAAGATGAGAGTGTACTGATAAAATAGTTGCAAATTTGCACAAAGCAAGGACCCGAGCCTCAACTAAATGTGGAAAGAGTACTGATAGAAGAGTTGCAAGTTTGCTCAAAGCAAGGTCCCACGCACTCAACTAAATGTGGAAAGAGTACTGATAGAAGAATTGCGAGTTTGCTCAAAGCAAGGTTCCCAAGCCCTCAACTAAAGGTTGAAGAGTACTGATAGAAGAGTTGCAAGTTTGCTCAATGCAAAGGCCCCCAAGCCCTCAACTAAAAGTGGAAAGAGTAATGATAGAAGAATTGCAAGTTTGCTCAAAGCAAGGTCCCGATCCATCAACTAAAAGTGGAAAAAGTACTGAAAGAAGAATTGTAAGTTTGCTTAAAGCAAGGCCCCGATCCCTTAACTAAAGGCGAAAGAGCACTGATAGAAGAGTTGTAAGTTCGCTCAAAGCAAGGTCCCGAGGCTTCAACTAAAGGTTGAAGAGTCCTGATGAGAGAGTTGTAAGTTTGCTCAAAGCAAGGTCCCCAAGCCCTCAACTAAAGTTTGAAGAGTACTGATAGAAGAGTTGCAAGATTGCACAAACAAAAGTACCGAAACCTCAACTAAATGTGGAAAGAGTACTGATAGAAGAGTTGCACGTTTGCTCCAAGCATGGTCCTGAGCCCTCAATTAAAGATGAGAGTGTACTGATAAAAGAGTTGCAAATTTGCACAAAGCAAGGACCCGAGCCCTCAACTAAATGTGGAAAGAGTACTGATAGAAGAGTTGCAAGTTTGCTCAAAGCAAGGTCCCACGCACTTAACTAAATGTGGAAAGAGTACTCATAGAAGAGTTGCAAGTTTGCTCAAAGCAAGGTTCCACGCAATTAACTAAATGTGGAAAGAGTACTGATAGAAGAGTTGCAAGTTTGCACAAATCAAGGTACCGAACCCTCAACTAAATGTGGAAAGAGTACTGATAGAAGAGTTGCAAGGATTGATAGATGTTTTGAAGTTGATTGGTTGTCACGAGCTGTCCCTCCGTGGGCACGATGAACGGGCTGGCTCTTCTAATAGAGGGGTATTTTTGGATATGGTTGAATACACCGCATCCCTAGATACAGTATTGAGAGATCATCTTGATGCCGCAACTGTTTCGAAAGGGACATCTAAGGATATCCAAAATGATTTGCTCGACTCACTGTATAAAATTTATTAACAACATTTGGCTCTGGAAAATGAGAATTGCCAGTTCCCTTCGATTCAGTCTGACGAGACAACTGACATCACGTGCGTTTCCCAACTGGCTGTGATTTTCGGTTTGTGAAAGATGGTAAACCTACCGAGAGATTTCACAGCTTTGTACCAATCGTTGATCGCACGGCTTGCGGGATATCGGCTGTACTGGAAGAAGTGTTACAGCCTTACAACGCGAAGTCAAAATTGATAGCTCAAACTTATGACGGCGCGGCAGTCATGAGTGGGTCGAAACATGGTGTTCAAGTTTATATAGAAGAAGATTTTCCTCATGCGCATTTTTTACATTGTTATGCACACCAATTTAACCTCGTTAATAAAAATATGTGTCTTGATACCCCTCTCGTCCGTATATTTTTTGCAAATGTTTCGGGGTTTTCTTCATTTTTTTCCGTTTCGCCGAAGCGCTCTGACCTACTTCGCCAGATATGTAGCCGCCGTCTCCCAGCTTGTGCACCAACACGTTGGAACTTCCAATCACGCGTTGTGCAGGGCGTATCCGAAATTAGGTCTGAGCTCATTGAGTGTTTCAATGGCATTCATAGCTCTCCGGTTTGGGACGAACGCTCTGTGAGGGAGGCGGCAGGTCTAAAGCGTCTGCTAGAAGATGGTGAGTTTTCATTTTTTCTCGCTTTTTTCTCCACAATATTCTATCACGTGGATGTATTATACGGCGCATTGCAGTCAAGGCTAATGGATGGAGCGTCTGTGCAGTCGTGTATTTCAGACTTCTGCGATGCTGTATCTCGTATCCGGGAAA